TCTAGGGACCTTCAAGTTGAACTCGATCCTCCCCAGCATTCTATATCTCCTACTGAGGTAGCCTCTAGAAACAACCAAGATCGGATTCTCAACTCCAACGGCAAACCCTTCATTGAGCTACTTCAGACAACTGGAATGATAATCCTAAACGGAAGGACAATTGGGGACATATTTGGCAGTCCAACTTGCATTCAAAGAAATGGAGTAAGTACGGTCGACTACATTTGCGTGTCCCACAGCCTCCTTCATCGGGCAAGGTTCTTCAAAGTTGGTGACCTCACCCCTTATTCTGACCACAGACCAATATCCACCACTTTAACCACTAACATAAGGAACATTGTGATGGCTGGCGACATCTCGAACGAAATGGAGCTCAAATTCGCATCGATCCCGAAGCCATTCAAGTGGACCAAAGATGCCTGCTCTGGACTTGGTACCACAGAAAAATTCAAGTCAGCCCAGAACACCGCTCAATTCAAAGAAAAAGTTGATTCTCTTCTTCAAACTGATATTTCCTCCCCTGACGACATTCGCAGTTTCAATAAAATTGTGATTGCCACCTTTACTAACCTGGCAAGTCAAGTTACCACCCAGAAAAGTGGAAAGCCCAGTACTAACAAAAACAAATGGTTTGATTGGAGTTGTAGGCATGCTAAACGATTAGTCTGTAGAGACGAAAGAGCCAAGAATAACACCCACATCGATCCTATGCTCGTGGAATCCAACCGAGCAAGATTTTACCTCCGTAAGAAAGAATACAGGGCACAAACACGAGCTAGAAAGGGAGCTTACCTATACAAACTTAACGAGAAAATCAACCTCAGCAACAACATCAACTGGGCTGCTTTAAAAGACCTCTCGTCCGCTTGCAAGGACCCCGATACATTCGACATATATGACCTGATCGCATTTCACAAGTTCTTCAACGACCTATACAATCAGAAGTGCAAGGACCCCTCGCACGGTGGACTACAAACGAACACTTCGACCAACGAAGCTGGTGAACAGGGAACCGAGTACCACCTCGAGCCATCAGTCGAACTTGAAAAACTCAACACAGAGTTTACTATCCAAGAACTGGAGAAAGTCACCAACAAGCTCCAGAATAACAAAAGCGTTTCATGTGATCTTATCTCCAACGAGATGCTCAAGAGCTCCAAACTCGGTCTCCAAAAAGTCCTTCTGAAACTATTCAATGGTTGCCTAACGCAAGGAATCTACCCCTGGAACTGCTCAATAACTACCCCCCTACACAAAAAGGGGGACAAGCAGAACCCCGATAACTATAGAGCAATCACAGTCGGAAGTTGCCTTGGAAAACTCTTTGCATCCCTCCTCCTTGATAGGCTGATCGAATTCCGTAAAGTCGTCTGTCCCGACTTCCCTCACCAACTCGGATTCAGAGCTGGTGCCCAGTGCTCTGACCATATCCTGACCCTTACAACGATCATCGAGAAGTATACAAAGAAGCTGAAGAAGAAAATATTCGCTTGCTTCGTGGACTATCGTAAGGCGTTCGACACAGTCTGCAGGGAGGCTCTCATGTACAAACTCAGTAGACTTGGTATCGGAGGAAGCTTCTTCTCTTGCCTCCAGAACATGTACAGCAACTCAGTTACCCGTATCAAACTGAGCAAGAAGCTGTCGGACACCATCGATGTCACCATTGGTACCGAACAGGGGCATCCAATGTCGCCGGAGCTCTTCAAGGTATACATTTATGACCTCTCCATTAGACTAGCAGCTCTTGAGGACTTGTCAATTCCAGAACTGAACGGCTTCCCGGTCAGCCATCTTCTGTGGGCAGACGACCTGATACTTTTGGCACTCGACGCCAAAAGCCTGCAGAAACAACTTGATTGCCTGCACGAATTTGCAAGTAAATGGGAACTGTCAATTAACATCGACAAAACCAAAATCATGGTATTCAACTCGAGCTCTCGTTTGCTGAAGTGCTCCTACGGGTTCAAACTAGGGAACCTGGACATCTCATCGGCCAAATCTTACTGCTATCTAGGCATTCAATTCAGTCTCAACGGTTCATTTAAAGGTGCCATGAACGAACTGAGGAAAAAAGCACTAAGAGCATTTTTCTCGATCAGACGCATGGTCGACACTCGAGCATTAACAACAAAAACCATGCTCAAGCTTATAGACAGCCTCGTTAAACCAGTCGCTACGTATGCCTGTCAGATATGGCTACCGTGTACAAAAATGGCAAAGGAGATGGCTTGCGCTGATGGTTCAAGACAGAACCTTGCCAGAGCTGCAACAAAGGACGCACTTGAGACAACACACCTGAAAATGCTGAAATGGGTGCTCGGCTTACACAAGAAAGCTAACAACAATTTCTGTTACGGAGATACGGGCAGGTTACCATGGGCCCTGTCGGTACTACCACAATGCCTGAGATACTTCGACAGATTGTCTCAGACATCACCCGACGTGAGCAGCGTCAACTTTCTTGTACATCAGACATTCCAAGAGCAGAAGAATCTAAACCTCTCTTGGTATAAGACCTGGAACTCGATCGCTCAGTCTGAATCCAAAGCGGCCAAATTCGCTCGATCCGACCAACACAGAGCAGAAGGAACGACCTCAACTGCACATGGAAATTTGGTTGATCACTTTGTAAAAGATTGGAGAACAGATTTAGCATCCCAAAAGAAAATGCAATTTTACTGCACTATCAAACAGGTATTCGGAGAGGAGCAGTATCTCAATCTAAAGAATAGTCAATGTCGCATGCACATAGCAAAAATCCGCTCCAGTAGCCATGACCTTCTTATTGAGAGAGGGAGATACACAAAAGAAACTGGAACGTGGACGAGAGCCTGCAGATTCTGCTGCAACAAGGATAACGTTCAAGGCTTAGAATATCTCCCCTTTTTCGAAGGAACAATCATTGAAAATGAAGAACACTGCCTCACTGAATGTCCAATGTACCACTCAGCGAGACTCTCACTGTCGGAAAACCTTAAGAGTCTTTTGCTGCTCAAGGAATACGGAGCTATCATGAATTCTGCCCATGTGCAAGAACTGGGCAAATTCCTTTGCAACTGTCACCGCATCAGGAACCCGAAAAAGACGCCAATACCGCCTGTCACCCCATCAGGACTACCAACTCAACAGACATAATACAGATCAACCATCATTATGCAGATTTCACGATCTGTTGTACGAGCATGGAACACTAGTGATTACTGTTTCCAGTACGTTGTGACTGTGAGTGGGAGGTCTGTTTGAGTATGAATGTGTCTTTTGTGGACTCGAATACTTATATCGCAGTTTAGTGACCATTGAAGTTGCCTTTTACTACTTCCTCTTATGTTAAATTATTATTTCAGCAATTATTTCTATTTCGGTTGTTTGTACGGGAGTTAAATTTTAAGTGATTTTGTTTTAAATTTTCATGATTCTTGAATCTCGAATTTTACTTACTCTAGATATGTTATTCATTCATGTATAGTCGAGACGATGGTGTTAGTGCCATCTCCGACAACTTTACGTTTAATTCCGTTTAATTCCGTTTAATTCCACTGCGGTACATAAGCTATATACGTACCGTCTGTCGAAAACAAAGGCTCCATCTCGTAACGCATTGGGTGATGCGTTACTGCTTTATCATTATGATTAAACTGTACCATTGTTTCCTGATTTTACCTTAGACGCAATTATTCCTTTTAAACTTTTTAGTTCGATTATTATAAACCCTGTGTGTTTGCCTTGTAGAATGAAACAGCACTCAATCATTAGTTCCTTGTCGTTCATTACAGTTTGCTTCATTAGCTTATTTGCTTGTTTGTTGATTTCTCCATCTTGATACCAATTATGGCTAAATTGAAGATTTAAATAAATAACTATAGATTAATATTACCTACCTTATCGGACCTTATTTGGACGGACATTAAATGAACGGACATAATTATGAACAGACATTAATATGAACGCTAGAAGGCATTCAAAACCATCAAAAATCCGATTTTTGAATCCATTTTTATACAGTAAGTAAGAAAAGCTAATATCACATATCATCTTCATCAAATGGGTTTTCGTGCATGAAATAGTCCATGCTTAAAGCATCAGTGATTTCTAGCTTTATGGAAACCTTTTTTTTTTATCAAACTACCCCGGTCCTGCATTTCAGCGTTAACTTTTACAAGCCGTTAGTCGTGAAGTGATTTTATCTTAGACAACTTTAGGTTAACCTTAACATCACGTGGAGCTTTCCTAGCACTGTTTCATTACCTCCCCTGAGTTATATGAACTATAAAAACGTCGGACAATGTCCTTGGCAACACGATTTACTGTAATATCTAGAGGCTGGAACAAGTTTGTCATGTTGGCGGGGACTAGCTCATGAACTATGTTGTTGAGTGCCATAATTTCGTTGAATTTTTCCGCCGAGTGACCCTTGAAAACATCATATAGTATTAAAGTTTTCTGTGCCTCCGGCAGACCAAGGAGAACCTTTCCGTCGTTAACTTACGGCACAATAAAGTTTTCATAGTTGTCATATTCTGGACAAAAAGTTCGAAGTAGAAAAATATTTGAAAAAAATTCAACGGACTTTAACTTGGACGGACCTTAAATGAACGGACTTTATTTGAACGGACATTAAGATGAACGTTAGGGCCTCCAGCGTTCAATTAATTTCCGTCCAAATAAGGTCCGATAAGGTAGTCGTATTACCTTATGATAATGATAAATATTAAATATTATTTGACGCCATTACAACTAAATTAGCGATTGAAATCTTTAAACGACACAATAAGTAATGAAAATCTTACAGGCATACACACATTCAAGAAGCATTTCCAATGACAAACGTTCAACCTACAATCACAGGCTCAGGAACATTCAGTGCTAATAATGATCAGTTCACCATATCACCGGATATATTAGAGGACCCTTCATATCTCGGCGACACGTTTAACATAGTAATAGCAGTCGCAACTTTCCTCTTGTGTGCAGTTGCATCTGTCTTTAATCTCGGTATTATGACTTTCTACTGGCCCAAAGTCAAGACTTTGATAGGATTCATCTATTTTATGCTCAGTTCCAGTGACTTTGCAACAGGACTCTGTGCAGGTTTGCACACCCTCATATTCATCACAATGCTGGGTCTCAAGCAATCAGGTGACCAGTCAACCTCATACATCTTCATTCTGATAGCTCCCAGTTACTTCCTGTCTGTTGTTTCATTCAAGGTTTCAGCCTTTGTCAGCATGGTCTTTGCAGTCATCCGTACCATCAGAATAATCTCTCCCATATCTTCCGTGGTGAACAAAACAGCTGTAGTTATTTCTATTTTTGTCTGGCTCGCCATCTGGGTTGCTTTTTTTCTTATTGAAACAGGGGTCTTCATAAAAGATTCCAAGGAATCTGAAGATCCTGCCGAAATGAAAAAGAATGCACTCATTGGTCACTTCTATCAGCCAAATAAAGCAAAGTATATACAGGATCTCTTTGGGAGTAACAATGATGAAGATGCCAAGCCCAACTCACAAGGAGAGATGAGCAGACACGGAGGAGTCTCTGCCGAGTGTGCAATTGATCTGCTTTACACTGGTCTCCCAGTCTTTCTATGTGCGGGGATCACTGTTATAGCTACCATTATCCAAGTAGTAGCTCTTCTCAGCAGGCAGCCAATGAGTAGCAACCAAGAAGCTGATAGACGAAGCAATACCAAGCTGAGCATCACTATTATACTTATTGGAATGGTATTTATCATTTGCTCATCCTGCACCCTGTACCAACCTTTCACTGTGTGCTTTTCTGATGACCTTGGCGCGGGGGTAGACCGCAGAAGACTCTATATCATGGGATATATGCCCTTCTTCTTCAATGCTGCAGTAAATCCTATCATTCTGCTGGCAAGGGTGTCTTCATTAAAAGCACACATGCTAGATGTAATGTGCAAAGGAAGTCGAGGAGAAACATCCTCTGATATTACAGCCACCACTGCAACTGTTTCGCGCAACGTTATGATGCTTACACCAGTGGCGAAACGACGGTCCCCGCTAACCCCGCTATAAAGGAGGCGGTTCCTTAGGGGGGGGGGGGGGGCGATCGTAGTTTGAATGTGGGAAATTTTTGAGAACTTAGCTAAGAAACACACTTTTTTAGAGATTTTACACGCGTATTCTCTAAGATCAGGATATTATAAAAAGTTTAAAGAAGGGGGCCCACAGGGGCGTGTCGCCACTGGCGTACACACAAGAATAAATGAAGACTTCAAGGAGGAGTGAAGAATACCTCAGCAGGACCATAGTATTAGTAAGGGACTTTAAGTCATTTCACTATCCAATTAGCAGTCAAGGACAAAATGTCATATAACAAATGGGCATTATATTTTAGTGAATTGTTATATATTTTTTGATTCTATAAAATGTGCTAAAAATTAAATGTCTTGTTTCATTGAATAGCAATTTCATTGAATCGTTGAGTTAGATACACAATGTAAAGATATAAATGATAATTTTTAATTAGTATTAGTATTGGTATAATTAGTAGTATTAAAGTTGAAAGACTGTTATAAGTTCAATTAATGTGTACCACAAACTAAGCGATGTCGAACTTTTTTATCGAACGTTTTGACCCCGAATTATAGTATCTTGTCAGATCCTGACTTTAATAAAATCTTTTGCTGGTCAATAAATACCGTCGACATTAAATGTAATAAAGTACGCTACTATTGTACAGTTCCGCATGCGCCCCTCCGCCGTCCCGGCTCGATGAGATAATGGGCCGGGCAGTCTTTGAAAACGCTATTATGACAGATGCACACTGCACAGTGAAGCTCATGAATCAATGTTTACATTCGCTGACAAATTGATGTAGTTTTAATTACAGAGTTATTAGAACAATGCGACGGTAGAAGATCAAAGTTAATCATTCTGACACATTCTTATTGTTCACCACAGTTAGTCACTAACAGCTGGGGATAGGTCGGGGAACGAGTAGTTTGAACTTGATCAGGATCATATAAATTTATTTCATGTTTTGAGCTTTGACAGAAGCTCCAATTTGTTTGGGAGAATATTTTGTATTAATATATAGAGAAATTAGCTGCAAAATGCGTTTTTTCTGTTTGTTTCTAGTCTTGTTTCTGTCAACTGTTACTTGCTTCTCATGTTTTTTTAAACTCTGCCCCTACTCTTGACAAGGTCAGTTTGTTATTAGCCCAGCGATAAGTCGTTAGCTTTGATTCAAATCAAATTTCTACTTGATAGCAGTAAATTTCAATCATTCATTGCAATTTGCATTGCTGATTTATGGGATACAGCAAAAGTCTCTTAACATTATTTCCTGACAGGCAGTGAGAAAACTACTGAACAGTCTACGGAGCGAAACCCACTTAACTAGAGTGGAACTGACACTAAGAAGTTCTCTGTTGCTGAGAGCGGAGCGTGCTGCTGGACAACATAACTCACTCTCTAACAGGGGATTCAACATGGCTATAAACAAGTTTTCTATCATGGTCAGTGATCACTCAGTTGTTCACTTTGTTGGGAGATTTGATGTTATGATTATGTTAAGCTTAGTGAGGTCTTGACAGATGACGTTTCTTTTGTAGTAAAGTTAAACCTTTGATGTAACAAAAAAAGTTTTAAAAATTGCTGGAAAGTCATGCTCATTCGCATATTACGATTAAAAATACCTTAAAAACAAATCGTCTAAAACATATCGTCAAAAACATATCGTCAAAAACATATCGTCAAAAACGGAAAGTTCTGATCAAGGCAATAAACATATGTGTCGTGACACTCTCTCAATTTCAGACCCCAAAAGAGAAGTCACTATATCTTGGAGTAACAAACAGCACACAGGATCATGCAACTAAGGAAATAAGACCTTCTCCTCCCCAATCTGGATATTCAGCACTTCCGATAGAGTTCAACCATCGTTATCACGTGAGAATTACTGCTTTTGGTTGTCACAGTGCTGACAAGCGCGACAGTAGCTTTAATTATATCCCCTATACTATAATTATACTCCCTATACTATTATACCCCCTTTTTTAACAATCAAAAATTTGGATTCCGCCGACAATTAAAAATTCTATCATTCCTGATTGATTGGGAATCGGGTTTTGGTTCCCCGATTAATGTTTACTCGAGATATATTGAATTACATAGAATATATGTATGATAAATATCAATACCCGTAACTTTAAGACATACCAAAATATCCAAAAATCAAACGATGTACACAACTCAAAACATAAACAACTGGCAGTGTGCCCTCAGAGAATAGCCCTAGATAAACCTGACCTGGGTGAGACCTGCTTCATGATTGCTATTCAGCGATGTGCGCTCCACAAGTCATCACATACCTGAGTTACAATCACGGTTGCAGTTTTAAGACTCACAAAAAAGTTCCTATTTAAAAAAAGTTTTCACAAAAAATTATCAAATATACCAAATTTATTGTGGACCAAATTTATTGGCCTTAAGGTAACTCGTTAACATGCCAAAGGTATTATAAGTAATTACAAACAGTAAATTTCGGTTAATTCGATGCAATATTTTAAGTCTAAAAAAGGAACGATACATTAAAACCCTGATTTTAGAGGTCTTAGGTTCCTCGGTGCTATAATATTAACAATTCATAACTAAATATTAAACGGTGAATGTTCTTATATTTTACGTTCTTGAACATTGAGAAAACATTTTAAAGGTATGGACCCTGAAGTCTTTAGTATCCTACGGCCAGAATGTCCCGGTCTCTGATCTGAAAGGCTCCCAGTCCCACTGTTAGCAAATAAGAAAGAAATCTAATATTTGATAACACGAGCCAAAGGTTCTATTTTTTCAAGCAATATTGACATTTGATTCATCGTTTCTGTATGCATATGAGTCCTAAGTAAATAAAAACTCTGTCTCTTTCCTCTTTTTAGTCTTTTAAAATACATCAAAACGGAACACTTCACCCGAGCTCGCGATATCATAAGATAAAGTTGAGTAAAGTCCTCTTTTTCATGGTTATCGCCCCATATATGATGTAACACAAGAACGGCCGGCCATTCGGCTGAGTTGATTTGTGCACAGTGACACACTTTTATCTTTTCTTTATTCACATCCGATATGCTTTCAATTAGTGCTTCGTCAACATCATTGTAAACTACGGTCCCATATTTAGAATTATCTGAATCGTTAATTTTGCATAACTTGATCAATTCTTGATTAAATTTGATCGTGATTAAATCACGATCAAACTTTTCAAATACCCGAAATTCAGTTAGTGGGCCACGGATGAAATGACCCGGAAGTTGCTTGGGTAACATGTCACTGTTTAGCGCAAATTCTATGTATTTATCTCTAAAAACGGATAAAATATCTGATATATCACAAGTGTTCCTAAGATTCTTTGTCAACTCTCGTTTTTCAAAACGTTTTTCAATGAAATTTCTTACACCATCAATATATTTTCTGTCACGCCAATACCACTGTCCTAAATCACATGCTATTAGAAGACTGCGACCTGTATCGCTATAACCCTGATAATGTCTGTCCAGTTCTTTCAGCAGGACACGGATATCAGCTCTGCCATACCAACGTAACAGGCACTGAAAATCATCTATAATCACATCACGAAATATCTGATCAAGATTAGCAAATGTATGTCTCAGATATTTAATATCAACATATCTCAACTCTATGATTATTACAGTTTTATTACTGTTTATTATCTGGTCTGTCAATGAATGTATTTCTCCAGAGTTAAAGATAGGAAAGATAAGCTCGACATCCACGCCTGCTTTCTGACATGCTCTTTGATATATTGTAAGGGTTTCTTCTCCTTTTGTAGAGTCAGTGTCATTGTTTCCTTCAATGAATTTAAAAATAACACTTCTCCGCACTGTATCTAATTGAGCTAGTTGTAGCATTCTCCCTGCCAGAAGCACAGTTTTTCCACTCCCAGCTGGTCCATCAATCCATACTAGAAGTGGTATGTGGGATCTTAATGTATGTTGAAATAAATCATTATCGTTCAGATACATTATCTTCCTCTGTTCTGTATCTTCCTCTGATCTGTATCTTAGTAAAGGTTCACATATCTTATCTTCCTCTGTTTTGTATCCCAGCAAACGTTCAAATTCCAAATCTCTCTCTGTTATGAGATTTCTAATGCTGTAATATCTCACTAGTTCATCAGGAAAATATCTTAATACCTCATCTTCTTTTGTTTTGTATCTTAGAAAACATTCAAATACCTTATCTAATTCTGTTTTGTATCTAAGTAAAAATTCTAATAACTCATCTTGCTCTGTTTGGTCTCTCATTAAAGATGCGGCCGCGGCGGAGTGCCGCCCAGTAGGGTCTCTCAGTGAACTTTCTTCTTCAGTTTTGTATCTTAGTAAACGTTCAAATAACTCATCTTCATTATCTGTTTGGTATCTATGAAAGAATTTAAATACCTTATCTTTCTCTGTTTTGTATTCTCTTAAAGTTTCGAATAACTTTTTTACCTCATAGTCTGCTTCTTTTTTTTCATAAATATTGTATCTTAGTATCCTCTTCTCCAATTTAAATACCATATCTTCCTGATCTGTTTTGTATCTTAATAGGTGTTCAAAAACGTTGTATTGTTGTAAACTGAGACACTGAAATACCTTATTTTGCTCTGTTGTCAGGTACTTAACTCCACAATATTTTCTGATTACCTCGGGTGCTTCAACAACATCTAGGCTTGCTGTCCCCGCTTCTTTTCTCGGCTCGAATGTGATCAGGCCATATTTTAGTTCCTTATCAATCTTCAGTACGTTCCACTCTAAAGAGCACCTTTCTTTCTCACATTTATTGTTTTCATTGGCCCACAACGCAATAAGAATGTCTCGAGTTTCTTCATAATACGTAAGAGAAGTTTGCTGATCTACGTTGTCGATAACGTTTTTTTCCCACCATGAATAAAAGCTCCTGTCATCTTTTAGATCTTTTTTTGTTATAATTCTCGCATCTTTCAAATTCCCTGCGAAGGGACAAGCAGCGAAGTTCAAAATCTGAGGTTTTACTTTATCAGTAATTTGAGCCATAATGCCTGCAATAAGTTTCTCAGTTCGTTTAGCTTGATCCATAGCCTTCTTCACGTCTGCTTGATTTTTCTTAACTTCTATGATGACGAAATAGTTCCTTCCCATTATGATAAAATCACACTCTCCTTGTTGTGCTTCTCCAACAAAATAATGATAATCTCTCTGACTGTACTTCAAACTATGCAAAACGAATATTGTGTTCTCGCTCAGTTTCAATCTTTCAAGGGCCCGAAAAACTTTCACTTCGGCCTCGTAACCGTTCTTGGGATCTAATCGTTGTTTTATGATTCCAACGTGCTTTACCCTATCCTTTTTCTTCAGTTCATTTAGAAGTTTCATATTCATTCTGTCAACATACTGTGAGAGAGGTGTTGGTGGGATCATGATAGGGTAGTATTTATATGGCTGATCTTTTGGTAGTGGTTCGAATGATGGGAGATAGTTTGCACGGATATCTTCACCGTCCTTCTTCAGCTTTGTCGACCAATCATCGATGTATTTTCGTTTTGAATTTGTGATTATTAACCAGATTTCATAAATCTTCTTTTCGAGAAAAAAGTAGTATCTTCTTCTAGAGAAAAAGTTTAACATAAAAAATGCACCGACAATACCATAGCAAATCGTGATAACAGCTAATCCAGATATTGATAGATCTTTTTCCGACATCATTTTGAAGAGAACTTTATCTGAAACAGTTGATTGTAACCATTTTTCATTTTGAGATTTTATGATTTATGTTTAAAAAGTACTGTGATGTCAGTGTGGGACATGTCAGTGTGGGACATGTCAGTGTGGGACATGTCAGTGTTGGACATGTCAGTGTGGGACATGTCAGTGTAGGACATGTCAGTGTGGGACATGTCAGTGTGGGACATGTCAGTGTGGGACATGTCAGTGTGGGACATGTCAGTGTGGGACATGTCAGTGTGGGACATGTCAGTGTGGGACATGTCAGTGTGGGACATGTCAGTGTGGGACATGTTAGTGTGGGACATGTCAGTGTGGGACATGTCAGTGTGGGACATGTCAGTGTAGGCATGTCAGTGTGAGATATGTCAGTGTGAGATATGTCAATGTGGGACATATCAAATTATCAATGTGGGACATATCAGTGACCTCAGTGTGTCACGAATCTGTTTCTTCCAATATATTCTTTTTTACCTTTATTTGCTGATGTAATCGGCTTTTGTTCTTCGATTTAACATTATTCGCTGTATGTCGTTTTCTGAAAAAGCCTACGTTATCTTTGACAGCAAGACAAGAACGGATAGGAATTTTTCAGCATATTTTTGTACATGTACAATTTCATGCCACTACATTCTGACTACTGTCAGCAATTTACTAAAAACATGTAAACCTGTGTTTTGGGTAGCTGACAAACCGACTTCACGTTGCACTCAACTGAGTCACATATTATCACAATAATTGTCTCATATATAAACACTAGACACTGAATATTGGTGTATTGTCAAACTCAATGATATTTAAATTAAAATCAATTTCTGATAATAATTGATATTCTTAGAGATTTACTATATTGTCATAAATGTGGAATGGCGTCGGGCTTGGTGGACGGTGGTCCGGTGGCGTGACCGGGTGACTGGGATTTTACAACTGAGAGATTAGGAGTTCGATCTCCGTGCTGTAAGTGTAGCACCAAGTACAAGCAAGCTGGTGGTGCATTTATCCTCGAGCTCATAACTGATTCATTCGAGTAAGCCATGAACAGTCTGAAGACTTCCACACCTCAAAGTCAAACAAACTCTCAAACAAACACAATATAACCCAAACTAAAAGCCAGACTGAAAGTTCTGGAAGCTAGTACAAGATGTATAGTGAGTGTATAATATTAATACGCCAGGTGTGGAGTGTAATAAGCCAGAATGTTTGGCAATATTGCAATATATGATATAAGTTTTTTAAATACAAGAATGACGTATCAGCAATCAGTCGCCAGTACCAGCCTGGTTAATGACTAAACAAGGGACAAGACCGATTAAATTGCTCCAATCAGGGATGGTGCTATTAAAGTATTAAGTATAGGCTTACACGGAAAACGAAACACAGTCGATGTGGCAAATTATCGATAAAAGTTCAAAACAACAGCATATTCAGAACCTCATCGCATAGTCCTACAAAATTGGGTTAGTAATTTAAGAATTTACTTTGAGCATGATAGGAAGTACATATTTTAGGTGTAGGGTTACCAAGAAAATAATTACCGCTGCCTAGCTGGTAGATTAGATTAGATTAGATTAAGAATAATGACATAAACATCATCACTAGTTTTAAACATTCTTTCTGATTTCCTCATTATCAGAACTGTGAACATTTCACAGCCTTCGTCATTTAAAAACAAACAAATTCTATAACTAACATAATTGTCATAATTTATTTACATATAAAAAAGTTTAAAAAGTTAAAAACCGTTAATTTAAAAAATAAATAAATAAAAACAAATTCATGAGATAAAATAATGTAACTCAGTAGTTTCAATTCAAAATTCAAATCAATTTTATTAATTTACAATTTTACAATTGCATTTACACAAGACCAAAATATCTGCAATGAAGCAACAACATAATTTATGAATTACGAAGGTTAGAGAAATATTCATGTAACTCAACACCACTAGATTGCAGCTAGACTCTGCACTACATTATACATTATACACACAGACAAACATAATCCTTCTAATTATAAGTAAGATAGTCGATAGATAGCGTTGGACTGTTTAAATTGTTCTAGACATAGTAATAATCAACAACATGAACATACAAATAATCTGACTTGAGAAAAAGCTAAACTGGCAGCAGTAAACGAAGGATGAAACAAAATAACTGACCTACACTGAATCTTGAAATCTTCTGACTGGATTATATAATAGCATTCGAGGTGATATCTCGCATACGTATCGAATATTTTAAGATCCGTGGTTATAGTGGTTACACTGAAGAATCGAATGGAACCGGGGAAGTCGTGAAGTAATACGGATTTCCATCATTATCACTAGTCTAGTATTATCACTTCGAATTATAAGTAAGATAGTCGATAGATAGCGTTGGACTGTTTAAATTGTTCTAGACATAGTAATAATCAACAACATGAACATACAAATAATCTGACTTCTAGACTAGTGATAATACAGATAGCCGGACAATTGCCACGGTGTTAGTAGGCTTCTTTATTTGTTAGTAGGCTTCTTTATTTGTTAGTAGGCTTCTTTATTTGTTAGTAGGCTTCTTTATTTGTTAGTAGGCTTCTTTATTTGTTAGTAGGCTTCTTTATTTGTTAGTAGGCTTCTTTATTTGTTAGTAGGCTTCTTTATTTGTTAGTAGGCTTCTTTATTTGTTAGTAGGCTTCTTTATTTGTTAGTAGGCTTCTTTATTTGTTAGTAGGCTTCTTTATTTGTTAGTAGGCTTCTTTATTTGTTAGTAGGCTTCTTTATTTGTTAGTAGGCTTCTTTATTTGTTAGTAGGCTTCTTTATTTGTTAGTAGGCTTCTTTATTTGTTAGTAGGCTTCTTTATTTGTTAGTAGGCTTCTTTATTTGTTAGTAGGCTTCTTTATTTGTTAGTAGGCTTCTTTATTTGTTAGTAGGCTTCTTTATTTGTTAGTAGGCTTCTTTATTTGTTAGTAGGCTTCTCGTGTTCTATCTAGACTTTTAAGGTTCGTAAAAATTACACGATGTCCTAAAAAAGGAGAAAAAGTTATTTTTGTTTATAACCCTCCTCGAATTTAACCTAACGAAGCTTAACACTTTTAAAATAATGTGCTATGCAGATAACCTTGTTACGCATTGAGGACCTTGAGGCACTGCACTTTGAGGCCCTTGAGGCACCTGAGTCACCAATTTGTCTCTGTGCCTCAATACCTAGGATGATGACACGTTTGTTGATTGTGGAACTATACAAAATAAGTACCTTACACAGTTTACTTCACACCTCATATCACTGCTAACGAGCCAATTTAACGTACTTCGTACGTACGTGTATGTTCCTCATCTTAGGCCGAACTCGACTACTACATTTAATCACCTCAGTTTCTGATATGCTTGATAGGCTGTTACTCTCAAATATCAGAGCTCTTAACAGCAAACGAAGTTCAAATATCGCTTAACTGTAGTTAATGGAAATCATATTGTTTCTCTTACCAATTACCTCAGATATTATACGTTTGTTGATCACAGGGGCACGTGACAGCAGTCAAAGACCAGCAATCTTGTGGATCATGTTGGGCATTTGCTGGAGTTGGAGCTTTTGAGGGATCTTACTCATCTGCTACTGGGGTCCTCAAATCTTTCAGTGAAAAGGTTTACTTCTTATTCAGTTGAATGTTCAATAATATTTGTAATTTGCAACATAACAGGCAATTTGTTTTATAATTCTAACTAGGCAGCTGCGAAATTAAAATTTTTAAATGAGGTACCTAACTTTTGATTTTTCGACTATATATCAGCCTCTACTCTTCGGACGCTGACAGAAAAATTAGTTTTGTTAAGGTTCTGGTTAACAAAATAGCCAATTGCGAAGATAGAAAAAATTCAAAATAGCAGACAATAATGTAAAATGCACGAAGAGCGATTCAACATTTTTTCACCCAACTAGTTCTGATTATATTTCAGGAAGCGTTAGACTGCAGTTATCCCGAGGAAAAGGATGGCTGTAGAGGAGGCTGGTACACATCAGTGTGGAGCTACATCCAGTCAGCTGGTAGACTAGCTGCTATGACGGATATACCTTACTTTCCAGCAGGTTTCAAAGTGAATCTACTTCTTAACATAATCCAACAGCAATCAGGACCTTTTTATTTTAGAAATACTGCCGAAATTTCAATTTGAATTGTCTGATGAAAACGATAGAAAATGGCCCTTTTTAAACTTTTCACGCTCTCAGCTGATAAATGTAGCCGATGGAAAGAAAAAGCCAACGGAATAAAGAATGCGGACTACATCGGTCACTACAAAGCCTCCTCAAGCTCGCTGGAGAGGATTTTAACAATGTATATCCCAGCAGCGGCATTTACAGTAGAGGATGAATTTTACGCGTACAAGTAAGATAGTAATAACTTGTGTGAGCATTAAAAACTTATCATATTCTTGAGACAAATGTCATCTTTTATTAAATAGAGGCGGGACTTATACTAGAATGATAGCATGAAAATTTACTAAGAGTAAATTTTCCCGGTTCCAGAAGGATCATACCCAGAGCCTTAGATATAGGTCACTCCGGTTTGATTTAGTTCCTCGGGCATAGTAAGACTCTTAGTGTGTGTGGAGAATAAAACTATATTAGAGATATTATGTTGGTTGTCGAAGGAGATGATGATTAATCACTCTACACTCAACTGTCACGTGACTTTTTCAACCCGTTCTCTAGCTGGCCCTGAACCACTATTCGAAATCCTAACCCTCTAATCTGATCCCATCCCTAACCCTAACCCAATTCCTGACAAAAGCATATGCTGAAACCCTAACCCTAACGAGAAATTAAACAAAATTCCTTATTATACTGTCGTATCACGTGATTGCAAGACAGTTTTTCGCCAATATCTCGCCAGGGGAGCATTTTAACCCTATGTCATGGGGGTGATTTGGAATCAGCGTCCAAAAATACATCGATTCGTTTGTTTTTTTGTTTGGGGACCGGTTTTTTGGTACACCGGCCCATGTTTACAAAATCATCTGATACATAACAATATGATTTTATTTAATACCTATATAACTATAAGTGAAAATAAGAGTTGAAAATGATGATGTAATCTTTGAAAAACCTACCTCGTTCTCCAAAATCCACGTTTTTCTGCAAAAACGACCATTCGTAACCTTTCACTATTACCTTTTTTACAAAAAAGAGTGAATGGAAAAAATCTCGAAGATTGATTGTAGAGTGATTTAGCACGCTCGTGTCGAAGATGTCGTTGACTGAAAGGTATAATAGTCCTGAAAGTACTGCCCACAAAGTTGTGTAATGGCTCGGCACTCTGTATGGTAATTGTAACTGTGATTATTTGGAATCTAAAAAGTGAAATATTTTCAGGGATGGTGTGTACAGTGGATGTGAAACCCCCAAAAGGGTAAATCACGGGGTTGTTATTGTTGGGTATGCTCCTCGATATTGGGAGGTTAAGAACAGGTTACAGGAAATATTTCCTTTTTTTCTAGTTCACCTTTATCAGGATAGACACGAACATTTATATATCAAAGATCAATATACTAAATTATAAATAGAGATTCTTAATAAATGTTCTCCACAGCTTCTTTGTATATCGCCAGGTTTCCTCAGTAAAATCTAACCTTATCTCCCCCTCCAGTTGGGGATCTGACTGGGGAGACAAAGGGTTTGCGAAGTTCTCCAGAACACGTGTAAACATGTGTCAGATCACGTCTCGTGTCATGTATACTGTTGTTATTGGGAGAGATAGAGGGGAGCACGATCAACCTGACGTCATACCTGGTATTGGTTACTTTCCAGATTACTTTCAGTGGTTACTTTCCATGGTTACCTTCCGTGGTTACTTTCCGTGGTAACTTTCCATGGTTACTTTCCGTGGTTACTTTCCATGGTTACTTTTCATGGTTACTTTCCGTGGTTACTTTTCATGGTTACTTTCCATGGTTACTTTCCGTGGTTACTTTCCATGGTTACTTACCATGGTTACTTTTCATGGTTACTTTTCATGGTTACTTTCCGTGGTTACTTTTTGGTTCTTTTTTATGATTGCTATACTTTTTGGATGCTTTTATGTACCTTTTTATTACTTGTTGTTTACCTTTGCGTTACTTTTTTGTTACTTTTTCATTACTTTTTCGTTACTTATTCAAGTTAAGCCTGGCAAGCGAAAAAAGGTGGAGTCGATATCGTGTCATGAAGTTCATCAAAGTTTAAGTATACGACTATAATATATGGTTCATATCAAACAGTGCAATTTCTAAAATACAATTTACCAGACAAATGTAACCGTCAAGTCGATAACCGTCAAGTCGGTAACCGTCAAGTCGGTAACCGTCAAGTCGGTAACCGTCAAGTCGGTAACCGTCAAGTCGGTAACCGTCAAGTCGGTAACCGTCAAGTCGGTAACCGTCAAGTCGGTAACCGTCAAGACAAGTTCTGGAACTGGTCCAAGTAATCAGTTATTTAGAATATATATTCGCATGTATCCACACTACATGAAATTGTGCTGTATATGAGTGGTGATTTCGCTCTGAGAATCAGGGTCAGTAGCTCAATTGGTAGAGCAAGATACGCGAAATGTCGAGGTTCTGGGATCATTCCCCAGTTGTCCCTAGTTTTTCAGAGTTAATCATCACCTATAGACAGCATGAGAGTAGGCCTGGCCATCTCGAAGTGATGGTCCAAGTAATGTAATACTAATAGTAAGGAGTACTGTGCTGGAACTTTGCCAGCTCCTGCAATTCGACAGATACGTAGATCAAGAATATTTATAGTTCTTACGTTAATTCATAGGTCAGGTGACATTTTTTACCTGTCGGTCGTAGTAGGTAGTTAGTCACGTGATACGCGTAATAAAAAAACGTGAACAAAACAGCGGGATTATCAGGATTGATTATTCTATCCCGGCTGATTATCCTATCAGTATCCCAGAGGTGTTTATAATCGTGATAGGCTTGCTGAATTGCTTCTGTTAGTAATAGGCTCACATGTACAACTACATCAACTAGTGTCCACTCTCTACCTGTAATACAAGGTACATGATTAGTAGAAGTATAATAGTGACATCACCTAGATAATAAATCATACTGGTATATAAACATACCAATGTCTTATAAAGTTACGACACCATCTCATTGATAAGTTAATTCTTTGACCACTTGACATATTCATGGCCGTTTAGAAACGGACTGTTGTTGTTTTTCTTAACATGGTCATCTTTGAGCAGATGAGTCATCAGTCAACAGCGTACAAGTATAAGCAGTGAAAGATTAAACAGATTTGAAACCAAGTTGGAGAAATATGTCTTCCAAACCCAAAGATTCGTCCAGAGTCCGACAGAAAGCAACAAACAGTACTGGAGAGCCCTCACGGAGAGTGTCTTCTCTGGAATCTGTCCGTGAAGATGAAGATGACGAAAAGAAAGAAAGAAAAACAATGCAGAGTAAATCAGTAGGAAGCAGACCAAAAGCAGTGCCAACAAATCTTTCTATGATCAAAGTCCAGGAGGAGAAAATCAATGTTGCAGATGTGAAAAATTTGAAGGATATAACCGCTCTAACAAGCAAGATACTCGAGGAAAACAAAAATGTGGTAGCAGTCGAGGGAAATTTGAAGAAAAAACTTATTCTCTCCTACTTGCCCCCACCACCAGCTCCGGTCACTATTTTGAAGGAGACAAAGAAGAAGAAGAAGAAGAAAAAGCGTGTTGAACTGAAGTCACGTGGTACAGTGACAGTTCCACCTCCCATTACAGTAGACTCAGGAACCTGGACACCCTCCCCCAGCACCCGCTCTCAGAGTGTTAGCACTAATTTGTGTTCCGCTGATGTAGGGGTGCAGGGTGAGGTGGTTAGGAGACGGGAGTTTAGTACGATGACTGAGGAGAGGAGGAAACAGGGTGTTACTGTGGGGGTGGGGACAGAGACTCCCGAGGGAGGAAGGGTGGAGAAGAGAGTTGTGACGGTGAACAGAGGAGTGCAAGGAGAACCGTTTATAGGAGAAAAAGAGAAGGTGAGGAGAAGGATGGTGTCGGTTGGAGTGAGCTATAAACCCCCGACAGGCACAAAGTCTGTTGGAACAGAGGTAACGAGGAGGACCAAAATGACAGAGACTGAGATAACCAAGGTGGAAGATAAAGGAAACACAGCAGTTCCCTCCTCAACTCACTGCAGCACTAACACTAGGACGTTACAGATTTCAGATAGAGGAACAGTCACAGATACACAAATCTCCCACACCAAGCATCTTTCTACCTCAGATCTCAGGTCCTTCCGGGATGTGGGTACCATCTCCTCACGACCTCCTACTGGGAGAGCAAGATCTACCAACACGGAGCTGAAAACGAGGCGTCACATGGCAGTGGGTACGAGCAAAACGTACCACAAAGACATGACACGGCTGGGAAATGAGATGGAGAAGATGAAGGGACAAAGAGTAGAGCTGGAGAAACTAACAAAACAGCTGATAGAAGACCGGGACTTGGCAGAGAGACGGCTTCTGAGCTTGAAACCCCAGAAGAAGGTAATGAAGCGGTACGTGGTTAACTGTGCGTGCTCTACCACACCCCCTCGCGGCAACCACCCCCGACACAGACAGTCCTCTCTCGTCCACTTGTCCTCCTCTTCTACCAGTCTAAGTTCTGACGGTTCTACTCGACCTAGGAGCAGAGTTCACAGTATGATTATATCAGAACCGGACAAAGAGGAGGGATGGAATGTCAGGGTTCTTACTCCGGCTAAATTATCGGACTTCAATAATCAGTATATCACAAGGGACAGTCACTTTTACTGATGTTCATGTTATTTCTTAAGAGATTTTCCCGATGAAGCGATTTGATTTAATAATGTTAGATTTGAACAATGTTTCCGCCGTATTACCCATTCAAATTTTCACATATTCGAATGTTGTAATTTTATTTTGATTAGAGTTTAAGTGGAATGGTAAAATGCAATAAAGAAATCTAATACAGTAAAACACATCATATTTAAATTGGGCCTATAGGATTTTATTTATTTATTCGGCTACACTAATATAACCTCGGCCAAAACAATCAAATTTATCGATATCACTTCGTGAAATTCTATATGATAAATATGTTTTACTGTTATTTGTTACAGTGGACGATTTAAAGAATGTTGCTCTGCATAAAACCGTGACAAGTTCTGGTGGCGAGCTTGTTACTGAGGCTACTGATGGGAATCAAGACACTTGCTTCTCAACCAAGTATGCACTGATCAAATTGTTTAAAACTCTTCGTGTCCTAACTATTAAAATAATTTGAACGTTTTAGCGTAATTAGACATATTAATTGATAGCATATTAATAAGGTATAGCTACTAGCTGAAGACGATTTACACATGTATTTTGAAAGCTCCTGCTAAAACAAACTTTTCGTATCACTTATATTATGTTTTAAACAATTCCCCCTCCAGATAAGGTAGCACATTAAAAAGACGTTACAGATTTATGTTGTTTCGATGATGTTACAAATACAAGATAATACTCACGTATTTGACTGTACTACATATCAATATGAATAATAATTACGTCCAAGGTGTATAACGTAGTTATATAACGTCCATAAGTTATATTTTCACTTGGGTCACTTTATTTCCTCAGTGTTTAAATTAAACAAATCATAACTTTTAAGTATCTCAAATCACAGAGAATCAACGAACCCCTACTTCAAACTGGACCTGGGAAGAGCAACTAAGGTGCAAAGAGTTGAAATCATATCAACTGATCCCAAAAGCATTATTGGAAGCAAAGTTCACATCGGAAATAGAGGTCAGAATTATATCAATAAAATTATCTGCGATTATATTAAACAATTCTGACGGTATATGCGATCACGCACACACGTGCGGTCGTGCTAATTAAAGCGTTTCTCAGGATACCATATACTTTACCACTAGCTCCGACATGATCCCAATAATCTCGTGAGTTTTACAGGAGATTTTCTGGACAAAAGGATCGGAGTTATCCGAGAAGTGGAAGGAAACAAAGCATTGATAGATTTGGAAGAGAGTGTGGAAGGTTCCAGATTATTTTGGGAGTTCTACAGTGGTGGAAGTGTAAGAACTTTGACAGTTTGTGAGATAAGGGTCCTGGCAGGTGATGGGAATGAAGATGGTGAGAACTCACTTTATTTTGCTATTCCTGGGAGTATACTGCTTTAATGATAGTCTTACAAGCGAACTTAAAGCTTAAAACTTAAAATTCTAATAAAATTGATCTCAACGTCAATTTATCTAAACCACATTTATCAGAATTTGAAGAAACAAAACAAACTTTTCCACTATTTTTACCTACTAAATATTCCCAGATACGGAGGATTGTCCCCAGGGGACGGTGAAGTGTTCTGATAGAGTGTGTCGTCATGCACATATGTGCTAAGTTCAACTGGACTATGTCGTTCAAGCGTTCCTCAGGGTATGACGTGCACAATTTGTCGATTGAAGTTTAATAATCTCGCAGAAATAAAAATCCCTGGTTTTCTTTGTGCAAATAAACTTAAAGTAGTAGTTTAATATTGAATATCTAACCCAGGAATTTAGTACGACACACATTTATAGGACATAGCATTTCTGCCGTTTTCTGACAAAAGTGCTTAAATAAAATTTTGGAAATTTCGGGTTTTTTGGTCTAACTTTTGTTTTTGGGTCAAGAACTATCCCTGAGGACCATTGGATACATGCGCCGACACCCCGAAACCCCCATTTTGACACGATAACAATGAAATATCTGGAGCCAGGCCATACGTTCATGTGCGCTGACTCGTTCCACCATAAAGTGGAACTTTTCATCAAACAGTGAGGAAGAGCTACATAATTATGACTTGAGGACTTTTGTGGTGCAGTGGAAAAGGTGGGTACTGCTTTTTCTTTGGCCTGTTCGGATTTTCATTCTTGGCCTATAACTATAAGGTCATATGGCCTATGGGACAAGCAACCGCTGCAAAACAGAAAGACAATTGCTCGAAAATGTGATCAAGACTATCAGGTTTCAGCATGGCTCGGTCCAAATAAAGTGGAAATTAGAGCAAAACGAGGTTTTCTTCCGTTCAGCTCCATTTTTTGCAGCAGAAGGAAGAGAGATTGATCCGACTAGGTATAATCATAGCTTTCCCAAACAATCAATCACGGGTAATACTAATAGCAGGCGCTAAAAAGAGAGATATAGTTCAAAAACTTTGTAGACTTATGAGCCCCCGATTGTTTCGTCAAGTTTTAAATATAAAATATAGAGATATTCTCGATGGTATTGCCTTAATAAACTTAACGGGTGATACTCGTAAAATATCTGTTCCATATATTGGACCGTCGACGAGCCAACTCGGCGCGCGTCCTGGTAGGTTGTAAACCTACAATAATAAACAGTATCTGGAGAGAAGATTTGTAGATATAGGAGTAGTTACAGTGTGCCTCGTGACGTTTAAAGCTGTAGGTACGTCGCACAACAATAGTTGGAGAACGCAACATTGTTCACACACGTTTCGTGTACCTTCTTAGCTTATCGATTACCACAGTGAATGGGAAATTGACTTTGAGTAGAGGAGTAGGGAATGTTAGGACATGATTGGATCTTGTGATATAAAGTAAGAATAGCTCATCGCATGTAATACTCAACAAGCTAGTATATTTTTACTACAAGCTTACAGGAAAAACGTTTTATCCTTTTATTTTGTGCTCGATATACTCGGCCTGGGTCAGCTGCCTTATAGAGCGAAATATATTTATTCATTTCTATAGCTCATCTTATATACCTCATATTCACGCTGTTTTCAATCTACCTTTTTGTTTGAATTGATTCGTGATCAAAGGAACAGTTTCAATAAGCGACCATAATGGTTGCTTTTGGGCAGTTTGTGCCTTAACCGTGCCTTAACCGTGCGTTAACCGTGCGTTAACCGTGCGTTAACCGTGCCTTAAGAACCGTGCCTTATGTAACCCTTGTGCCTTAACCGTGCCTTAACCGTGCGTTAACCGTGCCTTAAGAACCGTGCCTTATGTAACCCTTGTGTCTTAACCGTGCCTTAACTGTGCCTTAACCGTGCCTTAACCGTTCCTTAACTGTGACTTATCCGTGCCTTAACCGTGCCTTTACCGTGTTATGCCACACTACTGAATTGCCCCGAATTATTACAACCTGTTCCTGACCATTTTTGTTCCTGACCATTTTTATGAGTGTTGTGCCTTATAATGTGGTAAACACTAAGTTATCTGCTTACCTATAGCTCATAGGCTTCCTCAAACCTGTACATCCGCTAGCTGAACGCTTTATTCAAGGAAATTTAAAATCAGTTATGTTATAGTTTCTTGTTATCATCTATCTATCTACGATCTAGCTCCGTAATATAAATTGTATGGATTTTTATTTGCCGATAACGATAAAGGTTTTATTTAAGTATTCCCTAATCGATACTTTTACTGCATTAAAAAACATCAATCACAACCAAAGTTATGGATAGTCATAGCGTAAATTGTATTGTGAGCTAGTTATGACGTATCATAGAGCATGACAACGCGTGTTGCTAATCTGTTCTTGCTCGCTCACGTGCAATCTCTTGATGTTTACCTTCGCTAAAAAGCTAAAATAACGCCATTATTCTAACGTTTATTTTACCTCACTTTTGACGTTAATTATAGAAAATCTAAAGCCTGAGGGT